TCTACTCGTAGTCAATTCTGGTTCTTTGTAGCAGTTCTGCTTGGTGCAGTCAGGCACTCAATGAACTAGTACTAACGGAAGTGGGGTTTGGCTCCTGCAAGCCTCTCAGCTCACAAAATTTACATCAACTCATCAGCACATAACCTCACTATATGTGCTAATATTTTGTGTTCTGTGTGTTTCTATCTGAAAACTCCTCATTTAATACTATGTGGCTGATCATCAGCCTTAACTCACAGCTGACAGTACTGCTAACTCCTCCCTGGACAAAGCTTGCCTAACACTTGAATATTACACATTTGTTGTTTGGGGACAGGCTCTCTCTGTGTAGCCCTGGCTGTCCGGGTACTTGTCTCTGCCTCCCAAGCACTGTAACTAAAGGCATGGGCCACCACACCCAGTTCAATCGAGGTTTACATCAATCAGACCACTATACAATATTTTAGGATTACATTCGGGAGCCACTTAAAACAGTAAAAACAAACAAAAGAACCAAGTTTGGTGACACTTGGGAGGTAGAGCCAGGAAAATCTGGAGTTCAAGGTCATCAGCAGCTACATGAGTTCAATTTGTAGCTATCTGCTTAATATCTTTAGGGTAAAATCAAATATGCTTATCTACAACTATTATACATTAAAATGTCCTTAAGGTGATGGTGGTGGGAGGTAGAAATGGACATGATCAAGATCTATTTTTTACATGCATGAAAGTGTTAAAGAATAAATTAAAAATGTTCTAAACCTGGGTGTGATGTTTCACATCTTTAATCCAGCATTTGGAAGGAAGAAGGAGGTGAAGCCAGCCTGTCGACATAGTGAGTTCCAGGCCATTCAGAGTACACAGTAAGACCTTGTCTCAAAAAAAAAAAAAAAAAAAAAAAAAAAAAAAAAAAAAAACGAAGTCCCTAAGTCAAGCTGTAGTAGTGTATATAGGTAGTTACAGAACTTGAGAGGATCAGAACTACTACAGTTTGAGGCCTGCCTGGACTATACACAGAGAGTTCCAAGTCTGGGGCTACATGAGACCTTCTCTTAAAAAACAACAACAACAACAACAACAAAAACCTTCAAATTTTCTCAAAATGTGTTCTCAGATTTCACCAATACATAAAACTGAAATACTCAGTGATTTATGACAAGAATCAACAAACTTTCTCCAAAAAGAGCCAGACAGTAAATAGGCTGTGCAGGCACACACGGTCTCTGTTACATATTCACTGATTTAAAACAACAACAAGATTTATTTACTTATGGGGTGGGAGTGGCACACACATGTGAAGGTCAAAGAACAACTCCAGGGAGTCAATTTTCTCCTTGTCCTCGTGGTTCCCCAGGATCAAAGTTACGTTGTCAGGCTTACTGACAAGACCCTTGCCTACCTGTCACCTCCTGGTAGTCACTGGTTTAATTTTAACTTTTCTGGAGTACACTAACAAATTCTGAACTGGGTCTGATGTCTCACAAGTAATCAGGATCCAGGGACCAGAGCCAGGAGGGCTGCTGCAAGCTCCAACTAAGCCTAGGCTACACAGTGAACTCCAAGCTAGCCTGGACTACAGAGTGAGAGCCTTACACAACACAATTCTTAACTAGGAATCACCCAAAACAGAGGCCACAGGTTACAACCAGTTTGCCACCATGGGTTACATACCAAGACTCTTGTCTTTAAAAACGATGGGTGTGTGCGTGTGTGTGTATGTGTGTGTGTGTGTGTGTGGTGGAGATGGCATGCTGGAGAGATGGCTGGCTCAGTGGTTAAGAGCATGCACTATTCTTCCAGAGGACCCGGGTTCAATCCCCAGCAACCTTGTCAGGTGGCTCACAATCACCTCTAAGTCCAGCCCCAGAGGGGATCCAACACCTCAGGCCTCTTCGCGCACCTGCACTCACATGCACACACAGACACTTAATGAAAGTAATAAAAATAAATCTTTTAAAATTATTTTTATTTTTTGAGATAGTCTCTCTGTGTAGCCCTGGCTGTCCTGGAACTCACTCTGTAGACCAGGCTGGCCTCAAAATCAAAGAGAACCACCTGCCTCTGTCTCTTGTGTGCTGGGATTAAAACACTAAAATGTAAGGATAAATGATGGATAAATTAAATCAAACTACAATACCTATATGCTCATCCAGTTGGCATTTCTACTCTCCATAACAAAATTGGTATACATATGAAATATCATCTAATCACACCAACACTTGAGATTTACGTTAGTGAAAGCATGGGAGGCTAACTGTTAAGACCAGAAAAAGAATTTAAAAACCAGATTAAAATACAAGCTACCAACCTTCTTCTATCAAATTTCAGATGATCTAATGATTGTTTTTCAGATGATGTGTCTACATGACACATTAACTTTATATAAACACAGATAAAGCCGTTAATATAAAATGGTAGAGATCTACATGAGTCAGTCAACAAAAGATGCTTATCTTATTAAGGAAGAAATAAAAGGCAAATCACACAATCCTAAGTACAAAATTCATCTATGAAAAATAACAAACACCATGTGTTAATCTGTGTATACATACAAACTGCTAACAATTTCTTTTCTCTTTTACAATGAACATACATAAGCTTTATATGCATTAGGTAGTTGGTTTTTTTGGTTTTTTGTTTTTTCTTGTTTGGCCATTTTAAGAATAAAATGGGGCTAAAGAGATGGCTCAGCAGTTAAGAGCACTGACTGCTCTTGTGGAGGACCTGGGCTCAATTCCCAGCATCCAAAGAGTGGCTCACCACCAGTAACTCTAGAACCAGGGAATCTAACAGCCTCTCCTGATCCCCAGATACCAGGTACCCATGTGTAGACAAAACATTCACTCAAATAAAATAAATAAATAAATCTGTTTTTTTTTTTCTTTAAAGAATAAAATGGTGTTTGTTGTTTGTCAGGCTGGCAAGAAGGCTCAGCAGGTAAGGGCATTTGCCTTCAAGCCTGACCACCTAAATTTGATTCCAAGGATTTGCATGGTAGAAAGGAAGAACCAACTCTATGACCTTCTATGCATACTGTAACACATGCATGAAGGGAATACACATGTGTATACAGTACACACACACACACACACACACACAAAATGTAAAATTAAATTCAATAAATTCATACAAAATAAAATTCATGTTGTTTGAAAATACCTTCTGTATCTTCATTTATTTTTAGAAATTCTGTTAAATGCAACTAAAATAAAAATACTCCCTTGTTTAGTGACAGAATTTCAGCAATGCATTCAAAATCATGGCCCCACACCAAGGCACGAACATGAACCAATGATTGGACTCAGTGGATTGTAAACTAACCAACAAAAAGGAAGTTAGGAGGGGGACATATTGAGGAAGATCCAAGGAGAGCTGAAGGAGACGAGGGTGGCTATGATCAAAATATACTGTATACATATATGAAATTCTCAAAGAATAAATTAAAAATCTAATTTTAGGAGCTGGAGAGATGGCTCAGAGGTTAAGAGCACTGGCTGTTCTTCCAGAGGTCCTGAGTTCAATTCCCAGCAACCACATGGTGGCTCACAACCATCTGTAATAATATCTGGTGTTCTCTTCTGGCCGGCAGGCATACATGCAGGCAGAACACTGTATACACCATAAATAAATAAATAAAAAAAAAAATAAAATAAAAAAATAAAAAAAAATCTAATTTTAAAATTTTGGAGAGGTCCAAAAGACTGGTGGCTCATGCTTGTAATCCCAGTTCTTAGACAGCAGAGGAGGATCAAGAATTCAAGGTCATACTCTGCCTCATGTAGAATACTAGGCCAACCTGGACTATATGAGACCCCAACCCAAAAACATCAACTCCTTCTCTAAAAGTACTCAAAACTTGTTCTCAATACTCAGCAATTCCTCAAACTGAAATGTTTACTATTAATGACAGGAATCAACAAACATTTCTATAAGAGCCAGACAGGAAATACTTTAGGCTCTGGGGGCACACATGATCTGTTATTTATATATTCATTAGCTTTGTTTACATTTTAGGAATATATAAAAAAAATTCTGAGCTGGGGATAGTGGCTCTCACATGCAATCTTAGCACCCAGGAAGTCAAGTAGTCACAGGACTGCTGTGAGTCAGGGTTCCAGAGTGAGACCCTCCCTCAAACAACTAAATTCTTACATAAATATCACATAAAACCAAACCACTAGAATTAGTTTGCCAGCCACAATTTGTCAACCACTGGTTTCTAACAAGGCAACATCCAGAAAAGTTTGCTGTTAAAGTATATTCTACCAAAGGCATCAAAAATCCACAACAAAGTCAACTGTGTTTCACATTAATAAAGCAGATGACATCATACCAACTAAAACTGATTGATAAATATGCTGAACTGTATACCTTGACAAGGCAATCTCAGGATGGGAAACCTACTAACAGAAACTTCTAGCACTCATATTACATATAAATAGGAATCTGTATATGTCACATGTATGCCTAACACACATCTTGAAAAACAGCAGCTGAAAGCTGACCACAACATCAAAGCTCAAATTTCCTTTCATGATAATTAAAACCATTTATACATTCAAGTAATCAAAATGGGTCAGATTGTTTTAGAGGTCATCAACTGCTGAAAAGAACAGAATTTAGAGACTGGTGGAGATTTGTTTTCAATTGTAATTTATAATTACAAGCCAGGCACAGTGGAACATTCCTTTAATCCAATGGCTCTGGAGGCAGAGGCAGGAGGATCTTTGTGAGTTCAAGGACAGCGTGGTCTATATAGCAATATACAGGACAGCCAGAGTTTATATGGTGAAACCTTGTTTCAAACTTAGTATATATTGTGTCCGAAACTGTTGTTTACTTTTGTCTAAAGAACAACTTTTATATATAGTTGATTTAAGCTAAACTCAAAAGATTCTCATTAACATCCTGAAGTTACTACCAAAAATGAACTTCATTGAGAATAAAACTGGGTCAGGTTGAAAGTCTAAAAGGAAAATAAATACAAATCCCAGCAGTAACCAAATGGCCTCCTATCTTACCTAGACTGGTGGGTTTGATCAGCTCGTCCAGCAGGTCATAGAATGGTAGCTTTTGCAGCTTTATATCCGGATGGACTGGGTGCAGCGCTGATGGGAGATGTGGGAGTTCCAGTTCATGTTTAGGTCCCAGAAGAGAAACAGGGAGTAGTGGGGATGATGCAGGGTGACCATCATAAGTGAGCTGTGGAATGGTAGATGGAGACAGAGTCGCTGGCATAGGACTTGAGTGTACGTTGGGGATAGACAAGTCCGCGGGCGTCATAATTTTCTGAGGGAAGCGCCGCCTGTAGAGTTCTTTGATTTTCATTTGTACAGCAGGACTACAGCCAGCCTTTAACAAATGCAGGGCTTTTGTAAGAAGTTCGTGTTTGCGTCCGTGCTTGTTCCGCCCAGCGTAGCCCAACAGTACTTGGAGTTCAGAAACTCTAAGGCTCATAACCATTTGCTTAGAGAAAAAAGTAAAATGTAAAATATTAGTATCTGAAGCCATAATTTACAATTCTAAACAATTTTTACCTAGCCTCTTCAGATGGTTTGCTTAAATGCCAGCCCACTTAACATCCTTACCATTATAAACAAAGTTTAACCATTAATAATAAAGAAACTTGGAAAGTAATATGTTTAAGTTTACTGATTTCCATGTAGGATTATAAAGGACACAGGATCAAGTTACACTATGCAGGACCATATCTCACTTTACCCTACCATTCAGTGACAGTAGCAAGCACTTAACTAATTCTCCAGAAGCACAAACTGCAGATAGCAGAGTAGTAATGTGCCCTCAAGAGCAGTCCTACTACCTTCTTGGGAAAAAACTATAAGTACATTCAAACCAAACATCCCACCTCAAACCCCAGACACATATTTTCCTGATGCCTATCTCTTAGTCTTTGCTGTTATACAGCTAGCTAGCAGTCCCATCAGATGCTAAAGCTCTTGATTCCCACTTAGACATCAAGAATTCCACCTGTACACTATAAGACATGAAGCTAAATGACAGAAATCTACTTACCTTCATTAATCCTGGGTTCACAATTTATTTCATCACTGTTTCTACCCCTCTTCTAAGAACAGGAAATGGAAATCTAATCAGAACTTTCCATTTTAAAGCAACAGAAAAGGGAACCAAAAAAGAAGGACTGACCCTGACCACACTACTACTTATGGAAGAAGCCCTGTCTCTTCCTCATCAGGAAAGGTCAGGATGAACACACACCTGCAAGCTTCCCATTCATTAAATACTCCACTTGGATTCTCTGGCCTCATACCAAATACCAACACACAGTGGCTGCACTGCCTCCCTACCTTCCTGTACAACTCACTACAAATACCCCTTCTCAGCCAACCCATTGGAGCAGTGGTTCTCAACCTTCCTAATGCTGCAGCCCTTTAGAACAGTTCATCACGTCCCCCAACTATAAAATTATTTACTTGCTACTTGCTACTCCATAACTGTAATTTTGCTAATCTTATGAACTGTGATGTAAATATCTGTATTCTGATGGTCTTAGGTGATCCCACCACCACCACAATGAGTTGCAACTCACAGATTCAGAACCGCTCACTGCATTAGAGAGTCCTTTCAGGTGGCAGAACAACCCCCAAAAGTGACCAATGAATGAAGTACTCTGATGCAACAAGGGCTGGCCAGTCCAAGCTGTCAGTCGCTCCACTCTTTCCCACTTGCAGGTCCAGCTTCAGCAGCCCGTCCCAGTAGACTGGAACTGTTTTACTGTCTATCTCTACTGGCCATTTCTTGGGTATTTATTTTTCACACTTATCCTGCTACACTGTCATTTCTATCCATGTGGTGATTCCTTGTCTAGACTGAGGTTCTCCAGAGCTGATGACCATTCTAGACTGTGGTTCTCTGGGGTACATGACCATTTTATCTTCAGCACCTAGAACCAGTTTGTTATCAACTATGTGGACAGTGAAGGAATGAACAAGAAAAGCATTCCTGAAAGAATGGAGATGGAGTGTGCAGCAATAAATCATTCAAATCAATGCCCAAAATCTTGTGCTCTACAGAGGCATACAAAGATGTAACATAGACTTTGGGAACAAACTGCTGAGCATAATGGCCCACATGTGAAAGAGCAGCAAGTGAGAGGCTGAGACAGGAAGATCTTAAGTTCAAGGCCAGCCTGAGATACATGGTCTCAAACAACAGTAAAACAAATAATTCTGCCCTCAATGCTATAGGTATTTTCTTTTCTGATATTAACAGAGACTATAAATAGGACAACCATAGTATCCTCTCCCTACTCACTGAAACATCCTAGAAAGGCATAAAATAACTGGAAAAAGTTATTTAAAAGAGAACTGCTGGCATGGTGGAACACATGTATAATCCCAGGACTTGGGAGGTAGAGGTAGGCAGATCTCTCTGAGACAACCTGGTCTACACATAAAGTTCCAGGCCAGCCAGGACTATACAGTGGGATGAGACCTTGTCAAGTGAGGAAGGGAGGGATGAGAGAGAATAGAGCCAACAAGATGGCTCAGTGGGTACAGGTACTTATTTGCCCCCAAATTTGACAACAACCTAAGTTTAGTCCCCAGCATCCATATGGTGGAAAGAGAGAGCAATTTCCTAAAAATTTTCCTCTGACCTCCACACACATGCCATAATACTCATATCACCCTCCGTGTATGTGTGTGTGTGTGTGTGTGTGTGTGTGTGTGTGTGTGTGTGTGTGTGTTACATATGTGCAGGAGCCTGCAGAGGTAAGAAGAGGGTACTGGATCCTGTGGAAAGAGTTATGGATGCTGTGAGGTTCCCACCAAGGGTCCTGGGAACAAAACTTGGATTCTCTGGGAGAGCAGTAGCATGTGCTCTTAAGCACTAAACTGACTCTCCACTCCAGAAATGCACTGTGAATCTTAAGCTGGACATCTGTACTCCTGCACTTGGGAGGCTGAGACAGAGGGAACTTGAGTTTAAAGCCAACTTGAGCTACATAGGGAGAGCCTATTATTTCATAGTAATCTTGTTTTTAATGAAATAAAAAAAAAATCAAACATCAAGGATTAGTAATTAAAAACAAATTAGAGTTGGCTGGTCTTTCTCTTCCAGTGCTGTGATAAAACACCATGACCAAGGCAACTTACAGAAGGAAGGGTTTATTTAGGCTTATGGTTCCAGAGGGATAAGATTCCATCCATCATGGTAGGGAATTCTGACTGTGGGCAGCTGGAACAGATGAGAGCTCACATCTCAAACTGTAAGCAGGAAGCAGAGAGAGCAAACTCGAAATGGGGTGAGGCTTTAAACTCTCAAAGCCCACCTCCAGTGACATGCTTCCTCTAGCAAGGCCACACTTCCTAACCCTAGCCAAACAGTCAACCAACTGGGACCAGTATTCAAACATCTGAGCCTATGGGGACAGTCTCGTTCAAACATCACACTGTCTTAGTTTCTTTCTGTGTTCTTGTTACAGAAGGCTCGACAAAAGCAACTTCAGGGGAAGGGGCTACACCGGCTCAAAATCCAAGGGTAAAGTCCATTATGGTGGGGAAGATGACAGGAGCTTAAAGAAGTTGGCTGCATCACATTCCCAACTGAGAGCCGCGAGCAATGAATACATTCATGCTACTCAGCTCCCTCTCTCCATTTATAAAACCCAGGACCCACAGCTGCTATTAATGGCCAGGAAATGGTGTTGCCCACATTGGGCAGGTCTTCCCACATCAATTAAAAACCAAGATACTAGCTGGGCGGTGCTGGCACACACCTTTAATCCCAGTACTTGGGAGGCAGAGATAGGCGGATCTCTGTGAGTTCGAGGCCAGCCTGGGCTAGCAAGTGAGTTCCAAGAAAGGCGCAAAGCTACACAGAGAAACCCTGCCTCGAAAAACCAAAAACAAAAAAACAAAAAACAAAAAAAAAAAAACCCCAAAAAACCATCTCCCAGGTGATTCTAGATTCTGTCAATTAACACTAGCAGTCACATAGGCAAATGTGTTTGTTTTTAAAAGGGGGGGGAACAGCATTAAATTTTAGAGATAAATATCTTTCCTTTTAATTCAATTCCATTCTCTAAGACACAAATAAAAACAGCAATTCAGTAATTACCACAAATTTCAGTGATGGTAACCTTTGCCTGTCATTAATTGTGACTACAAGATTAAATATAGCACAGATGTATTATTGTATTTCTATGAAAAACACACTGACAATTTACATAAAATAAAATCTCTTGTTTGAAGGATCAAAGAAAAAGTTAAGTGACAAAATAAACTCGACAGCTGTCAATTACATTTTGATTGCCTCAAAAAAGACAAAGCAAACACTATCAACCGTTAAAATACTTACATGCACTCAAAAGACAGCTGCTATTAACAAGTCAAGGTTTCTAGTTTGGGGGTTTGTTTTGTTTTTTTAAGAGGATTTATCATTGTTATATTTTTGAAACAGGAATCATCATTTTTTACACAGGAAGCAAAAAATCTGAATATTCACAACTAATTCTACTTCAAATAAATTTTCACAATTTTACAGAGACATTTCAAAGAAACAAATCACATGCTTTTTAATTGGGGGGCAGGAATCGATTCAAAAATGTATGTAGTTTATTTACCTCAATTTCCAGTTCAAGCTTCAGCATCTGAACTTTAGAAAAAAAAGTTATGGCTAAGACATGTGTGTGCTCCATTAATCACTCAGTGCACCTGATAACCTTGCCCAGCGGAAGGCCAGGTGGTGTTCCTTGCTATTACTGGAACAGCTTTTTGCATACTCTTGGGGGACCATAATAAACACTGTATTTTAGAGAACTGAAGAAGAGGGCGGAAAAGGTCCAGCCATCTGAAGCATCACTCAGATGAAAAGGCTACAGAGAAGCATGCAGCAGTTAATTCACAATGCAGAAGTGTTGACAACAGACAGGAAAACTAAACATTTAAATACTTCTGAGATGCTGAAATGAAATATATTTTAATGTGCAATGTGCTTTCAAATTCTTCATTTGTTAAGACTACAATAAAATGAGTATTTACAACTAAGGATAACATTAGCTATGGTAGCTATTAGAAATCATCACTTCCTAAGGAATTCCAGCATTCTGCTGACTACATCCTTGATGATATAGTTCTTAGACTCCTAGGGGATTAAAAGGGGTTGAAAAGTGTATATATTCTGCACAGAAGAGTGCAGTTGAAAGTTCTTTTGTGTCCCGGCCTGCCGGCTGTCGGGACAAATCTCTCCCAGTCACGTCCCTTAAGTAAACATACAGAGGCTTATATTAATTATAACTGTTCGGCCATTAGTTCAGGCTTACTACTGACTAGCTCTTACACTTCAACTCAGCCCATTTCTGTTAATCTATATGTCACCATGTGTTCCGTGGTTTTACCTGTGTGCCATTACATGCTGCTCCCTGGACAGCGGGCTGGCATCTCTTGACTCGACCTTCCTCTTCCCAGAATTTTCCTTGTCGACTTAACCAGCCTATATACTTCCTGCCTGACAAGCATTATCCCACAGCAGGAGAGTATTCTGTGAAGGCAATCTTCCTAAAGTGTTCTAATTTGATCAGACAGACATATACATGGCTTTAAAATTCTCTTAAAATTTTTTGATGTATTTGATGATGTACACCTGCATGTGGATGCCAAAGGAGGCCAGAGGGGGTCATCAGATCCCCTGGACCTGGAGTTACAGGCAGTTGTGAGCCATATGATGTGGATGCTAGAAACCAAACACAGGTCCTCTGGAAGAACAGCAAGCATTTTTTAGCCACTGTGTTCTCTCTAGCCCCAAATATAGATTTTTTTAAAGTATTTTTTAAATTTGTTATTTTGTATGTATGAATGTTTTATCTCCATGTATGCATGTGCACCATGTGCATGCCTGATGCTCACGGAGGTCAAAAGAGGGCACTGGATGCCCTGGAACTAGAGTTATAGATGGTTGTGAGCTAACATGGGTCATGGGAATTGAACCTGGGTCCTCTGCAAGAACAAGTGCTCTTAACCACTGAGACATCTTTCTAGCCCATGTACTTTGTTTGTTTGTTTTTGTTTTTGTTTGTATGTTTTTCAAGACAGGGTTTCTTTGTATAGACCTGGCTGTCCTGGAATTCACTCTGTCGACCAAGCTGGCCTTCAATTCAGAGATCCTCCTTCCTCTGCCTCTCAAGTGCTGGCATTAAAGACATGCTCCACCACTACCCGGCCCATGCACACATCTTTTAAAATCCTAATAGTTTTATAACAACAGTAGTTCTTTGTTGCACGTTCGATTTTAGCCTTTTTTTCTGGAATTTGACTCCAACTGTACAGCAGCTTGTTAATTTTTCCTTGAAGGTATCTACTGACTTCCAATTATAAGAGATAATGTTTTTAGCTGTTAAATCTCATCACCTACCATCTCCCCATCATAATTTGTGATTAAATCAATTGTCTCTGCTTACATTATTACAACGTCTGTAAATAAAATCCACTGCTGAACAAAAAGTACATCACAATTATGCTTTCTTTTCATATAACTTCACTCTCTTTATATTTAATATCCACCATTTTTGTGCCTGATTAGTATTCCATATACCTACTGTCAATTCATTTGCATAGTAAAACTTTCCTCTCAATATATTCAATTATGTGAAAGAAAGCTGTTTTAATTTTGGCTGGCTTTGTTTTATATTTTTTATTCTTTTTTTTTCTAATCTTATTTTGTTTTGAGTTGTCTTGTTTAATTTGTTTGAGACAGGGGTTTCCCCATATAGTCCAAGCTATATGGAACTTGCTATGTAGCTCAGACTAGCTTCACACTCAGTATCTTCTTACCTCAGACCCTGGAGTGCTAAAATTATAGAACTCTCTTTCTTCCTAAAAATATAGCCCCAGTAGCCTGCTACAGGGCTCCAATGTGTACAGTTAGAGCTGAGCCTAGTGCACACTTATGATCACAGAATTTCCCTTTTCTGTGTCCCAGAAACTCCCATTTGTATCCCACACTGAACACTGTTTCCTCATTGCTGGGCCTCCTTTCTTGGCTTCTCTTCTTAGTGGGGTTTTTCCTCCAGTAGAGTTCTGAGAAGGGGGCATGGGAGATGTCTTTTATACCTTGCATTATTATAAAATCAATACTTTCTCATACTCAATCCTTGAGTTTGGCTCAGTATAGAATTTTAGACAGAAAAAAACTCAGCAGAATTTAAGACATTTCCTTATTTTCCATTTCTGGTGTTGGTATTAAAAAGGTCAGAGCTGGAGAGAAAGCTCAGCAGTTAAAAGTACTTAGTGGTCTTGTAGAGGGCCCGGGTTCAATTCCCACCATCCACATGGTGGCTCACCACCATCTTTATTTAACTCTAGTTCTAGGGGAATCTGACTCCCTCTTTTGATCTCTGAGGGTAGGAGGCACGCATGCATGCATTCAGGCAGAACACTCATGTACATAATATATAAATAAATCTTTTAAAAATGTTTTTTTAAGCTTAGATAACAGGCTTTTGTGGCACAAGACTATATAATCCCAGCATTTAGGAGGTGGGGGTGGGGGGTCAGAAGTTCAAAGCTAAACAGTATGTTTGGTGTCACCCTGTGTTTCAGGAGATCCTATCTCAAACAAACAAACAGACAGCCCCTGTACTGTTCATCTCTAATGGTTACCTGTATATCCCCCATCTGGAAGTTGATAGGATTTCCTCTTTAGGTGTTCTGAAATTTCACAGCATCATACCTCAACAATGACTTTTTAGTAACTGTTGAGCTTTCACATTTATAGACACATGTCTTGGAGGGTTTCTAACAAGCCTTCCATGTTTTTTGTTTTTGTTTTGTTCTCTTTCTCATAGACTGCCATTTAGATACTAAACTTCCAAAAACAATTCTCTAAGTGTTCTCAGGGGAATTGTGTCGAGGAATGGGATGTCTGTCATTCCAAAGATAACATCACCTCAACCTCCTTTGTAGATACATAAAATTTACACACACACACACACACACACACCCTATTCCCAACTATACAAGTCCATTTTGCAATTAAATATAAAGTGCCAATTTTGTACTCTCCTTAGCCATAGCCTTCCTTATTAAAAGTCGTGTCTACATGTAAGCAGGAATGAGGCCCCTCCAGCTCTCCTTCACAGCCTGCTGTGGTAGTTTCAGGTCAGTCACAAAGCAGACTCTGCACTGTGAGTCTTCATCTAATATCACTATATAACCAAGTATGAACTAGAATGAATTTTAAACAGACAAAAATAGGCAACTAATAATGTCTTATTTCAAATATAATATTATTTTCTATAAATCTAAACTTCTATAATTATATACACTAACGCCAGGCATGGTGATTCATACCTTTACTCCAGGCACTGGGAAGAAGCAGGAGGGCTGATAGAAGTCTGCAATCTACCGAGTTCCAGCCCAGCCTGGTCTACATATTGAATTCTAGGCCTGCTAGGATGCAAAGTGAGACTGTCCCCCAAGAAACTCAACAACGAATCAGATATATTAAGAAAGCATATTAAAATAAATAAAAATCCATTATTTATCCATTATTTTCAAAGTCAGATTATTCAATGAGACTAAATTCTCAATTCTGAACCATTTCTAATCTTTCCCATTAGAAATGGTTCATAAACTGAGCACAGTGGCTCACATCTATAAGCCTAGCACCTGAGAGACTGAGTGAGGCAGGATCATTGCCAAGAGTGTGAAGCCAGACTAGGGCTACTACATAGTGAGTCCTAGAGCCTGGGCTACAAAGAGACATAGCCTTTAAAAACAAACAAGGAAAGGAAAGGAAAAGAATAAAGATACAAATGAAAACACAAAATAACCAATTGGTAGATTAGCAATTTGTCAACAGCGTCTAGTTCAACCAGAAAACCTAGTTAGACAATTTCTACTCAAAGTAGTAAATCAGGTTGGCTGCATCCTTCTCCATAATCATCTCCCTCCCAATTTCTCATCTTTTATTTATTTCTCAACATAAGACAAGTGGAGGGTGATCTGCAGCACCAGCCCCTCCAGCTATCACCTTCATCTCTCAGCCTCCATTCCATCATACTGATTACACTACGCTCTCAAAAGATGACAAAATATTGTGATTATATGTAAACAGAGATTCCATTTTCCTTCAAGCAATACACAAACTTAACATTCTGAAAGGGTTACCATGGTTTCACTTTTTGATAGATGATTTATACGTCATCCCTATCTATGCCCTACCACATTTCATGAAACATATGGATACAGGCTTCAAAAAGCTCCTTTCTGTTAACATGAATACTAAAAATAACAAATCTATCTTAGACTGTTTTAAAATTTGGACACAGTATTAAGTTTAGTTTAATTTAATTTAAAATTCTAGAATTTAAAACACTAACACATTGACCAACTTCATGTGCAGAGACAAGAAAATATGGTTCTTATTTAAGGAAAAGGCTGCTCTGTCATGACTTGGAAAGGCTCTCCTAGTGCCTGCATTTCCCCTGGGGTCTAAGCTGCACTAGGACCCTATCCCTTGCGTCTAGTCCACCTGCAACAGACTCACCTTCCTGCTCACCAATCGTTCAGCAACCCATCCACCAGCAGCAATTAGGGAAGTTTCTCCTTTGGTCTAAGGAAGCAATTGGTGAGTGTCTGGCACTTCTCTGGTAGTCTTGGAGGGAAGGTGGCTGGGGGGCATGGCTCTCTTGACCTTACCCCATGTCCCCACCTTTGAGCTGTAACACTGCAGTTTCCTTAAGCCAAACCAAGGCTACTGTGCCCCTTGCTGTCCTCTTCTCCCATCTTCCCTTCAGAGCAGAGCACAGAGCATAGAGCAAAGCAGAGCAGAGAGCACAGAACATAGAGCGCAGAGCACAGAACATAGAGCAGAGCACAGAGCAGAGCAG